TTAATGGTCAAAGCTGAACTCCTGTAGCCCGGAGAATGGGAAGATAGCCCCAGGATGGTGGGGGAGCTGATCACTAAAGGAGATGGACTTGAAGAGAGCAGAAGTCAGAATCCTGGTGGCTGAGCCCACGGTCAGTATAGAAGCAATCAGACATAATCAGAGGGCCAGGGCCAGCTGCATCCTGACATCCAACTTCCTCTCCACAAAAGAAGCGGGTAAATTTTTCTCCAGGTGTCAGGGAACTGACCCCACCCTGGTCCATACTTTTCTTGTTTTACCTATCATTGGCTGATGTTCTTCTGTTACACAACATCTTCTGTATCTCTCACCACTTATGTTTGGATTTTTTCCATTAATGCAACTGTCACCCAAATGTGAACTCTGATTGTCCCATTTATCCAGGCTGCTGAGACATTCAGTATCTATAATCCAGATGTTAGCTGAAGTTCTTTCTATCCTCAAAATCTAGCTAAATTGGTTGGAACCAACCTCTGCCCCATCTTTAGAGAAGCACTTGCACAGTCTTGTCCAAGATTTAGATATGTTATAAGGGGTGACAGGTTGTGCTTGGAGTTTCTTTTACTTTCCAAGATTCTACATGTTTCATATGGTCTTTGCCTTACACCGTGTAGGACAAGATATGAAATACCTATGCACTTTTCACACCCACAATGAATCCAAACCCAACTCTCATGATCCCACAGACTCTGCTGGATAACTAGAGGTAACAGGGAAAGAGGAAATCACATCATGGACAACCTAAGAGAACAGGCATTCTTGCTCCCCTAGGCTGTTATCGCCCTCAGGCAGTGTCTTAACTCCAACTATTTTATCTGCTTCTCCCCTCTCTGCCTTTCTCCAGTTTCTGTACTAGGTGAAGCAACAGAACTCTTTCCAGGTTTAGGTATCAGTTTCTCATCAAACTTTTAACAGGACCCAGGCCTTTTATAAAGCAATTAGAGATCCAAGCAGACCTGTGTGTGTGTGTGTGTGTGTATGTGTGTGTGTGTGTGTGTGTACGTTCCTCCACTGATGGGAAACCCTGCTTTCATATCTCAAATTCTGAATTCTCCTTTTGTGCTCTGTATTACACCTTTATGTCTTCTCTTCCATATGACCTCAAATCTCTTCAACCCTCCCAAATAAAATGCATTTTAGATTGCACATGTAACATACTGCAATGCTGACAATAAAGAGGAGGGGCTATAGATTGTATCACAGCCCAGTTCAACAAAGCTGATTATGAGCTAGCTCATCCTTTTAAGTCCTAAGGCTATTTTCAAGGTTAAGAGATGATTCCAAATGTTGCTAAGGATGCACCTGGAACTCTTAAACACTACTGCTGGTTTGTGTCCTGGTTATACTCACTTAAGAACACTGTTTGACACCATTTGCAAAAGCTAAACATATACATGCAGTTTGGCCCTGCAATTCCTTTCCTAGCCATAGACCTAACAAAAATATAGATATATTTATCCACAAAATATCTGCAGAAAAATGTTCATAACAGTACTGATCTGAATTTTAAAAATAATAAGCAAACCAAATATCCATCAACAACAGAATAGATAAATATGTGGAATAATTATGCAGTGAAAATGCAGAAATGAAAATAAATGAGGGGCTGGGGATTTAGCTCAGCGGCAAAAGCGACTGCCTGGCAAGTGCAAGGTCATGAGTTCGGTTCCCGGTACCGGAGAAAACAAAAAAAAAAAAAAGAAAATAAATGAAATACAACTACACACAACATGGTTGGATCAAAGAACCAAATTATTGGGTGAAAGAAACCAAACACAAAAGAGTATATAACATACATATCCATTTATAGAAAGTTCAAAATAGTCCATACCAATCCATGGTGTTGGAAAGCAGGGCATTAATTACTTTTAGGGGTTAGTGACTTGAATAGGGAGTGAGAACAGCTTCTGGAATTTCGGAATGTAATCACTTCTTGATCTAAGTCTGGCTACACAGATTTCTGAATGTTGGTAAAACTCTATATTCATGGTTTCTGCGCTTTTCTTCACATATGCGTGAGTAAAGGCGTAAGAGTGGGACTGTACCCTTTCTCCTCCAGACCTAGGCCTGTCTGTGGAGAATTTAGGTTTGCTTTCTTCCAGCACCAGCCCTTTGAAATGACCCAAGTTAGGTCTGGAATGTGGGATGGCAGGCCAGAGACCTATTGTGTACACCATAAAACCTGCAATCTGTGAGGCAAATGAGGCAGAGAGACTTGTGAACTTTAAGCCTACATGATTGGTGGGAAATCAAAGAAGAAACTTCTTTACATTAGGTGATGCCTATATAACATAGCCAATTCCCTAGCAATCATGCACATTCTCTAGGGGGGCCAGAAGAAGATCTAATTCAATGACAAATAGTAAAGCTAATTGTAAAACATATTCTCATCCAGGACAAGTTGTGTAACTACCTCTTAGAAAACTTTTCTTTAGCAAGACAGTAAATGGTAAATCCCTGCTCATCAATATTCAAATTCACACATTATCCTGAGCGTCATTACCTAAGACAGAGGTCTAGTTGTTCTACTTTTTTAATTTGCTGTCTTAAACTTTCCTTAAAACAAAAGGCATTGGGCTTGCCTCCCATCACCAACACATGCTTTTAGAAGTGCCAGCTGTGGCATGACTTGTAAGAAAGCCTTTCCCTGGGTGTCACTCTTTGCTCTATACTCTGTGCCTCTCTAATGATAGGAGATACCCTATACCAGTGGTGGTGAACCCATGGCATGTTTGCCTCACTGAAAGTTCTAAAAGGTTCGCCATCACTGTCCTATACTCATTCCCAGCTTTTCAGTGTTTGCTTTTTGGGGTTTTGCCTATTTGTTATCTGTTTTTAAAGGAGTAAAGACTACCTTGAGACCATACTTTTAAGTGAAATAAATCAGACACATATGTGTAAATACTGAATTCTCTGGTGTGAGAAACCAAAAGTATAACTAAGGACCAACATGTGTAATAGATATTGTGAAATAGGAAGAAAATGTTCAAATGGGAAGGGGAACTAGGGAGAGAGGAGGGGGAAAGGAAGGAAGGGGAAAGGAAAAAAATGAGAATAGAAGGAAAAAATAGAAACAAAGTTTCTGTAAATGAGGGGGGAGGGTTTGAAGGGATGGTAGGGGAATGAGTAAAAAAAAAGACTCAAGATATGTCATGCACAGGTAAATTGCTCTATGGTGAATGTGGTCATTATGTATACTCAAAATGTACCAATAAACTTAATTAATTTTAAAAAAGAAAACAAAGGAGTCAAGACATCCAAGTTTAGTAAAATCTGGAAATGCATCCTACTGCATGTATTGATGGTACATTACTTCCTTTGTCACAATATTAACCTCTCCTCCCTCATCTTTTGCTGTTTACTAGTCGCATTTGAGCTAGACTTCATGCATCTTACTTATTTTTTTAATACCTAACATTTTTACTGGTATATGTTTCCAATATGTAATAATGACATTATTCCTGGGAAATGGATACATATACACATTGCATCTTAATCAATTTTACTTCCTCTTTCATTCCTGGCCCTGCCTCTCCACCCATCTCCAACCTCCTTCCCAGCCCACAAAATCTATCTCCCTGTTCCCTACCCTATTTAGAGTCTTCTGTATTTTCTTACCATGGCCAGAGTCACAGGTGAAGGGGTGTGAAAGTCTCAGAAATAGCTCAGTATTTTATGCGAATATTTCAAGAGACTATCACCTGAATGATCAACTCTCCTCTTGTACCTGGTGCTCAGCAGAAATAATGTATATTTACTAAGCACCCTGTGTTGGTTTGGGGCTTATTTTTGCAAGGAGAAACAGTATAATACAGCACACATAGTTTATATGATTATTTACAATAGTCACCCAGAGAACAATATACAAAAGAGTGCAGGAAATCTGTCCACACACTAAGACCAAGGAATCCAGAGGGCCTGGAATGCTGAGGGCCTGGATCCCACAGCAATGTCCTGCATGAGTCCAGCTGAAGGCCTGAAGCGCATCACAGTGCCTCCCAGGAATCCAACTGGAGGCCCAGAGCCCATGACAATGTCTCATGCAGGCCTATTTCAAGGGTTTGCGCTCGGAAGGCGCAAAGGTCAGTGGTGGAATCTAGGAAGTCTATGCCAGTAGGATGAAGGATCTGCACTGGCAGCCTGAGGGATCTGCACTGGAGCCAGAAAGCAATGCTCATAAGAACCAGAGCTCTCCTGAAAGGTACCACAGCCATCCTCAGCAACAGTGAGGTCCCGAGCTCCTCTGATGATCAAGATGGCCAAGTTCCCATCAAGGAAGCCAATGCAGCAAGCTTCTCCAAGAGACTGGCAGTGCACTTTCTTCCCCTTCAGAGCCAGGAAGCGATGCTCAGAGTGAGGAGGAGAGCTTCCCCAAAGTGAACCAAAGCCATTCTCAGTGCCAACAAGGTCCTGAGCTCCTCAGAGGATGAAAACAGCCAAGTTCATCAGGAAAGCCAGCGTGATGAACTCCTCCAAAACAACCAACAGCTCCTTACAGCTTCTACCAGCTCCCAACAGCTTCTCTCAGCTCTCAATAACCTCCATTCTTCTTCTGCCTCTTATACTGCTGGCAACAATCCCCAGGTGGGCCTCCCACACCCAGCACCCTGCTTACTCAGTACAGCTAGGGGTTACAAGTTGACCACCAGTTATCAATCCATTATACACCCTTGACACCCAATGATGTCACTCTTTCAGTAGGGGAAGAAGGAATATGATTTAACAGTCACCAGCAATTTGAACTCCAATGAATATCCCCGAATCATGATGTGGGGTAGGACAATATTGAAATACTAGGCTCCTACTGTTAGACCTCATTGTAATCTCACTTTTTATAATATCTTATTTCTTATAGGACTTCTAAGGAACTCAGGATGATAAAGATCAATTTCCAATCCTTCCTAAAACAATGTATAAACAAAAAGACTTAACCATGATTTCTCATTGTTTCACCTTGAATTCAAAATCCTAAACACATCCAATACAGTCCGATGTGTGAAAAAACCAGTTTATTAAATAACATGTGTGAAGTTTTACAAAAGGCATTCCCAGAATGCTCACATTTGTGTGGTTCTTAAAGGTGTGGTTCCTATAAAGCTCTGTACAACCCCAAAGCACACAACTGTGCCAGGGAGGGTTCTTTATTCCATGAACTGGGCAAAAGTCCTTCCACTCCTGTGCATGTTTTACTGAAGCAATGAACATTTGTCTTCCTCGGGACAGAAATTCCCTTAGCCTTGTGAAAAGGCAGGCACTCCTGTACCTTCAAAGGCTCTGGCACACCCCACAAAGGCTTCCTTCCAGCCTTTCCTCTTCTTCATGGAGAGGTCATGAAAGATATTACAGAAAGACACACATTTAGAAATTCCTCTCACACATGCAGAAAAATGATTGCCAGAATATTCTCAAATTTAAAGCTTGAAAAACCTGTGATTTCTGCACTGTTTCCAAGAGTACTGACTCTAAAAGAAGCTATTCTTCATCAGTGACCCCGCCCATGATTTTCTCCATGACAGTGACAATTCTGCAGCTGGTCCTTGGAGCTGGCATCCCTCTCCGTGTTACCAGGTTTCTGCAATCTCTGTGAGACCCCGCAGCAGCTCGGAGAACGTTGGGCGGCCTTGAGGGCTCTGGAAAAACGAAATGCAGGTGATCAGCTCTGCTTCCAGCTCACTCAGATGCCATCTGTGGAACTGGGTGGGCCGGCAGGGACCTGACTGCAGACTGATTCTCCACAAAGGAAGAGAAAGACACCTGGGCTGACACACAGTCCTTGAGATAGGAGTGTGAAAATGTAAGAGGAAAGAGCACTGCAAAAATAAAACAGCCAGAACTGTGAACACTAGCCACATGTGGACAGTGAAATTTATTAAAACTAAATGTCTTCAGTTCTTTAGTCACACTAGCCACTTTTCCTGTCCTCCAAAGCTAGATGAGCTACCTTACTGAGCAACACAGTTTATAAATGTCTCCATCACTGCAGAAAGTTCTTTCTTCCCAGAGATCCATTTGAGTGATTTGACATTGAGGTCATGCACCCTCCTCCCCTGAACCTTTTCCTATGTCTTTCAAGATTCCTTGTGGAGCATCAGTTAAAAGGACAGAGCAGAAGATGATATGAGCCCAAGTGAGGGCTCTCTGTAAGACTCCAAGACGGAACAGGGGAGCTTTCTAAGGAGGCTGAAGTTCTTCGGGTACAAGTTATGCGATGTACCTGTCAATGAGAACATAATCACATTCGAGTCTAGAGACATCTATGCACTTGGGGGAAAGTTACAGGCAAAATCAACTTTTGCAAACAAGTAAATCAACATGACCAAAACGTTGTTTTAATCAACTTTCCAAGTGCAACTCGAAACTAAGATCATCTGCTTGGTCCTTCTGCAAATCTCCTATTCATGCCTTCAACTTCTCCACCCCATATCCTCAGATACACAAAGCTTGGTAAGTATCAGTGAGCATGCGCACGTATATTGTTTCATAAACAGTTATACAGAATTGCTCCTCAATTTAAGCCCCCCCAACTTTTGCAAAAGGGAAGGGGACCAAGAGATGAAGAGAGGAGGGGAGGAGCAGAGGGGAAGGGGTTGAAAAAAGAAGGAAGTTGAGTTATAGACATGTACCAGCTCCCCACAATGAATACAATCACCACACACTGCAAACATGTACAAACAAAAAAGGCTAACTTTCCCCAGAAAATGTATTTAATACACTTAACCTACCAACCATCACAGCTTATCAACGTAGTATTCTTAGAACATTGTTGTTTATCCCTGTGACTGTGTGGCTGACTGGGAGCTACGCCTAGCCTACTCTGCCCAGCATCCGGGGAGAGAATCCTAACTCCTCCTGCTAGTAAAGGAAAAGATCAAAGCTCAAAGAATGGCTTCTACTGAATACATGTCATTTTCACACCAGTGTAAAGTTGAAAAATTGCAAACCAAATCATCCTAATACTATGTGTGCCTTCCTGAACTATCTACATTGTTATTGCAAAGGAATTCTTATAAGAACTGTTGCTACTAATAGCTTACTTAACCTTTTTCTGTGTTTCAGAATTCCTTGTGGGGAAATTAATCATATATAAAATATGTTCCTTCATTGGGAATCTTCATAAATTTAATGGTAGTCTGGAACACAAACAATCACATCACCCTTGAAATGTTGACTTTTCCAGTGTTTATGGATTGTAGCTCAAGTGATTTTCTTTTCTTTTAGGTGAGAGAAAACTCCTTATTGAGCTGTGATTTTTCTAAGCTGTTACTGTTGGTTGCAAAGAGCAGAGCTCTCAAAGTCACAGAGGATACACATGTTTATAGCAGTACAATTTGTAACAGTTAGATCTTGGAAACAACCTAAATGCCCATCAACTAAGGAATGGATAAAAAAGATGTGGTCTTTTTATACAATGGAGTACTACTCAGCCATAAAGAAGGATAAACTGGAGACTTTTATAGGTAAATGGATGCAACTTGAGACCATGCTCATAAGTGAAATAAACCAGATTCACATGTGTAAACATTGTATTGTCTCCCTTGTGTAAGAATCTGAAAGAATAAATAACATCCAAAAGGCACAATAGATATTATAAAATGGGAAAAAAAATTGTTCAAAGAGAAAGATAAATTGGGATGGGGGAAAGGAGAAAAGAAAAAGCCAAAAAAAATTATATATATATATAGATAGATAGATAGATAGATAGATAGAGATAGATAGAGATATATTAGTTAAAAACATTATACTACTAATTTCTCTTAGTTGATGAAAAGAAAGGTGTGTGCTATATTGTTTGGACAATTAAATGCCTATATCTTGTACTCTGAGTAACAAATTTAAGGGCAACAATACACAATGTATTAGCCATTGTTATTCTCCTATTATCTTGTTTTGAAATTTTGTTTTACTTTTTTTCTCTTTAAAATAAAATTTGAAAAACTCACAAAAGAGTCTGAAAAAAGGAGGGGCATTTGGAATCAGTGCCCAGAAAAGGCAGAAGTGGGACAGAAAACTTTCGGGTTTTATTTTTAAGCTTTTCATTTCAACAAAGAAAAAACTGGTCTCCTGAGAGAGGATTTCCCCAGCAGGGCCTGCTGGCATGCATTCCACCTTCGTTTCTATTCTGCTTTAATCTTTCTATCAGGACTTCTAAATGGCACAGAGGGATAAAACCCATTACCTTTAGCCTTGAAAAGCAAGGCAAATGAAAGTGGAATGAAACAAATAAAAACACCGTCCTTTTTTTTCAGCATGGAAGTTGAACAAACCTGTTTCTGCCCTTGGTTCTACTGACCAATTCCTAAAGGTGATAAAATATCTAAGAGTTTCTGTGAGAACCATTCTCAGATGAGACTTGGAAAACTCATCTAAAAGCCCATTGTTAAAATGGATTAAGGACTCTGTCCTGGGAGTTTCAAACAGAAGCAGTGCTTCTTGTTCTCAGGATCATTAGCAAGAAAAGGATGCACCTCCAGAGTCCTGGGTAATGCTAGTGACAATCAGGTTTGCTCTCCGAGGTTGGCACTTCCACCAGGGAAAGACAGGGACACTTACTTCATGCCAGCAGCTGTACATCGCTTCATAGATGCACATGGGTGCCAAGTGAGGGCGATAGAGCCGGAAACCTTTAGAAATGGCTTCCACAACTTCCAAGTTTGACTTGTTTTCAAAAGGCATTTTTCCTTCTGTAAAAACCTCCCACATTAAAACTCCTACAAACAAAATGCATAAAATGAGAGGTTAGAGAGAAATGCTTACCTGAAACTGAAAGAACTGTTTGCTTCACATTATAAGGCACCATTTTTCTCCTCCAGCACTGTTATTACCCTGTAGGAGACCGAGACTGACCTCCATTGTATATTAGTAGCCGTCTTACTTGTCTTTCCCTTTAAGTCAGGACTGTCTACCGTTGCCTAGCTACTCCCGCCTTTGGGGCTAGGACTGCCCACCATTACCTAGCTACTCCCGCCCTTGTCGGGTTACTTGGTTACTCCTGCCTTAAGAACTTCCGTATTTCCCCGCGCCCTATATATGCGCAATACTCCCCGCCAATAAAGGAGACTTGATCAGAGCTCTGTCTTGTCTCCATTCTTCGTGTCTCTTGTCCCTTTATAATCCCCACTCCCCCTCTAGGGTCCTAGTTGACTGTACCCGCGGGCTGGAACATTACCCAGAATGAGAGCAGTTGTAGCCAGGAAGCAGACTGTGCACACCTGAGATTTTGAAGAGCCCTGTAACTCAAAAATAATCCCAGCAACAATACACCTTTCTTTGTTGGTAGGTCTTGAAGGCCTCTTCTCTGGATAATAATGCCGGTAGCATTTTTATTTCTAAGTACTGCTCACATACCCACACCCTAAAATCGATGAACCTTTTGCCATTGCATAAAAAACAACAGATTTGTATGAGCCTCTGTTGCCTGAGAGTTTCCCAACCAGTAAATAGCACCTGTCCATCTTTTTCCACTGAAAGATTAGACTTATTGAGCAGAGCCCTGGACTGCTGACAGGTGGATTGATTAGTGTAACACCTTTAAGAATTCACATATTGAGTACATTTAACTATTCGCCTAGTCTACAAATATTTACTAGGTATGGATGAGAGGCCAGTCCTATGCTAAGGCGAGAGGATTCCATGGGAATGTGACCAGTGCATCCACTCAAGAAGTTCACTGTCCTGGTAGGAAGAGAGACAAGTGAAACTCAGTGAGCTCTATTTATTCTGTAACTACCAAAGGAGTCCTTGTATTGCTATCCATAGGTCTCTAAGATGTGGCCTCACAACTTCTACATGAGACTGCCCTATGTCAGTAGAGAGCTAATGAGATGAACAATACAGGCTTAACTTTACTGTGGACAGTAACGTTCACATCCTTTTGAGGGCCGGAAGTCCATTCAACCCAGAACCACTTAAGAGGTTTGGATAAAAGTGAACATATAGATTGCACATTTATTACTATGTTTTGAAAATCAGCTCAAAGAACAAATTGCATTGGACATGTGTCTGCAGTGTCTTTTTCTCAATGAAGAACATGAGTCACTGTAAATATCAGTAAACAGATTCTAAGTAAGACTATATTCACATCCTATAAAACTTGAGGCAGTGCCATATTTTAAAATCCAGGCCTTCCATTTGGTTTGTCAATTGAATAGCTGAAAATAATCAAGTTGCTTAGTTAGACAATGAAGTGTACTAAATACACTTGAAATTATTGTCTATCAAGTCAGTGGTGTGGAAAAATTGACTGAGTTTGCTTTCTAGGTCAGTATACTATTATAGCTTTACAGAAAGTGCTAATTTGGACAGGAAAAGATTCAAAGACAGACTTATGTAAAAAGGTGTATAACACTAGTTGCCAAAAACAGTCTGGATATGGCTGGAAAACAAAGGCAAGCACAGAGACAAGAAGACATTTTCAAAATGCTATATTAAGAAATCAAAGTTAAACAGAAGAGATTATTATATCAAATCAAGCTCCATCAAATGTACTTACCAAATGACCAGACATCAGATTTACTGCTGTATTTGTTGAAATGAAAAACTTCAGGAGGGGACCATTTGATTGGGAACTTGGCTCCGGAAGAACTGATATATTCATCATCCAAGACATACCTACAGTCATCAGATGCAAAGCACATTTTGTTAATTACCTCTAAGTCTTATTTACTTCAAATCTTTTTGCATAACTATGAGTAACTAAAAGACAGAGTATTTTATCCCAGAAAAGTTCTATACACCTTCTCTTCTCATTAGAAAATTGTGAAATTATCCCACAAAGTGTTCCCTCCCAAGCCAGTCTCATTGTGTTTAATCTCACTGAGTCTCAGAAATCCATAACAATCCATGAGGCCAAAATATGGTACATGGTTTATGGTCTTTATGCTACACTCTGTAATGGCTGGTACACTGTGTCAACATGAGAAATTTAGAAGTTTAACTCAGCAGAGAGCCAGGGTCCTTACTTTGTAAACATCCTGAACTTGTGAAAGAAGAGGGCATGGAGATGGTGTGGGCAGATAGCTGGCATACAACATAAGGGAGGAAAAGAGTCTTGCTTTTTTCCCACTTTTATGCTCTTGTTGCTTTTGCCGTCTTTTATTGCCTTGAACTGTTGCCCCTTACCATGCCACCCTGCTTAGGAGCCAGCTGATTATGGACTGAAATCTCCAGAAACCATGAGCTAAATAATTTCCTTCCTTAATTTTGGGCATCAGAGTATTTTGTCTCAGCAACAAGAGAAAAGTAACCAAGATACTTTTAACTCTGCAAAGAAGCATGTTGTATGCTCTACCAACTATGGTTAAAAGAGCACTCTTCTTACTTTAGAAAAGAATAAATTCAAAGTTAGATACCACAGGCATGGTGGCACACACGTGTAATCCCAGCACTCGGGAGGCTGAGGCAGGAGGATCATTGTGAGTTCAAGACCAGCCTGGGCTACAAAGTGAGCTCAAGACCAGCCTGAACTGCATAGCAAGACCCTGTCTCAAAAATGGAAAAAAAAAAGAAAAGTTAGATGCCATATTTTCTTTTATGTGCATATGTTTTGTGGGAAATAAAGAGGATGAAATATATTAACATAATATACTTGATGTGGAAAAAATTCTCTAATGCATTAAAATGACCCCTATATAAAAAGAAATTGGGAGTAGTTACAATCTCCCTTTTGAAAACAACAAAAAATATTAAACGCCCTCCTTTTTTTGAGAACTGTATGCAGGACTATGCTAGTGCCAAAGTCTGGAGAAGACAGGCAATAACTAATGTGAGCTAATTGCCTTTGAGTATACAATATAATATTCCTGAATTATTTCTTAATGTTGTCTCCATATACTCTATCTTACTCACCTTTACATCCTCCTTTATTGAGTCAGAGGTCAATCTACTTACTTAAAGATAAAAAAGTAAATAGTAGAAAACCAAAGGAGAAAGATATTTTCCATAGACTTGGTGTTGCTAAAGTTTAGGCTTTTGAGAGAAGAACTGAGTTACTAGCAAGGTATTTGGCAAAATGGGTCAAGAATAAGAGTGAAACCTCACCACTACCACCCACCTGTTTGGAAAAGTTCCCTTGAGTTAGGAGGAGTGGGAAAACAGAAAGAAAAGAGGAGGAGTGACAGACATTGGTGGGTTGCTGAGTTAGCTCCTGTACCTTGTACCCTTTAAGAGTTGTCTGAGACACATAGCAGGGAAAGAAGCTCCCAGTCTCCCATGAGGTTGGCAGTACTTAAAATCAAAGAAGGACATGTGCCCTCTTTCCAATTAGAGGCCCAGGAAAGGCAGAAAGATTCCAAAGAACAAATAGTTGTGGATGTGCCTAGGTAAGTGCAACCTTAGCCCCATGGAGTTTTCTGATCACAGAGGATGCCAGTTCTGAAGGAATTGTGCAGAGGGGTCGCCGTCACTTGTGTGGTTGGCCAACCACAGCCAAGACAGGGGGATAGTGACTGCACAGATGCCATGGTGTATAGACAACAGCAGGATCAGACAAGCCACCACCTTTCCAGACATGGTGCTGGCAGATACCTAGCACTGGGACAATGATTCAAAGGAAAATCAGGGAGAAATCCTGAATGCACATCTGTTAAATTTGTAGCACCTAAGAAAAATGGGCTCGAAATGTAGACTTTGAGTTGCAGAAATAGATGGTCCTAATGAGTTGTAGAAAGATGTGTCTTGGTTACTTTTCTCTCATAGCTGAGACAAAATATCTGACACCTAGAATTAAGGAAGGAAAGGTTTATTTATCTCACAGTTTGTGGAAGTTTCAGTCCATACTTGGCTGGCTCCCAGGCAGAGTGGCACATGGCAGAAGACGACAGTTCATGGCAGGGGAAGACTGCAAAAGCAACAAGAGCAAGAGGAGCGCCAGCCTCTTTTCCTCCCTTACACTGTATGCAAACTACCCGCCCCAGGGCAAGTGTAGCACTCATATCCATAATTCCAACATTGGACCATGAATCAATCATAACTCTAGAAGCCCTCCCCACGACTGCATCAGGCTTTGGGGGGACATCCAGACATAAATAAGATGGTTATATTTTTTACACTTTTCAGTTGTAGACTTAAACTACTAAATTTGATAATAGAAGTGTTTGGTGATGACTTCAAAAATCTGATTTCTTTCTTTTCCTTTCAAAAATATACACTATGAGAAAAGCACTTTTCTTAATCTTAAACATATGAGTGGACTGAGAAATTCTTTTTATTTTAATAGTTACCATATTTTTGTTAATAATGACCTGAGGGAAGATAAAAAGAATAGCCAGCACTAAGCAGGTACCTGGTTGCTAAAATTGGTGCACGTGCTGAAATCCACACTGGGTCAAACTCACCAACCCTTCCCCAGAGCAGAAAAGCAGAGCCAGTAGCATCTTCAGTTTGTTGGTAGACAAATGTAAGATTCCTTCTTATGAGTGAACAAAATAGGACCAGGGGTATAGCTCAGTGTCACAAGCACCTGTCTGGCAAGTGCAAGGTACTGAGTTCAATTTCCGGTATCAAAGAAAAAGAGTAAACAGAATATACATATATACATATATAAATATGCATATCACATACCTCGTCATTCCAAAGTCTGAAATTTTTACTATACACGTAGAACTAACCAAACAATTCCTTGCCGCCTATAAAAAGAAGAAAAAGTAACCCAAATGAGACAAGTTTTTCCTTTAAGAGTTTCTACTCCCTTTTTCGTAGTTTATCTGAGACCCATGCTAGCTCTGTGCAGACAGCCTCGTTGTTCAGATGGTGACAGCTCTCAGTGGTATACATGATTTAATAGCCTGCCCTTATGAGACAAATTTCATAATTTGTCAATAAAACACAAAAATGTTAACACTTTTACTTTTAAAAAATTTAGACTTCAAAAAGTATTTAGTCTTTCTCAAGAAATATCCTTGATAAAGATGGAGATTAATTCAATGTAACAGATGATAAACTCTGAATCATGGTATAAATAAAACACAATAATATACATGACAGAAAAGGCACAGTCATTTCATACGTTTGGGATCTCCAGCAGCTACTATAAATTAAGTAATTACATTTGTTAAATTTACATTTCATGGAATATAACTACAGTGATAACTTCATATTTCTTTAATAAACCAAATGTAGTACTATCTAGTTCAGAGGCAATATATTTGGTGCCAAAACAATCTATTTTCAGCAACTTAGCCAAGAAAATCATTGATTTGGCTATTTAGCCTCATACAGGTGAACAGTTTGATAGAATTTTTCTCTTCTCCCTGTATTTGTGGTTCAGTGGGTCCAGTAATAAAAGCAAGAAACGTGGAATAGTAAGCCAGAAGGGACCTGTTTCCAAGATGCCAGCAAGTGCCAGCAATGACCTCAAAGCTACAGTACAAGAAAAGTTCTTGATAGGAGAAAAGCTCCTTTGTTATTTGATATGTTTTACCCAGCATGAAGGTAAATGAAATAGAACACAAAGCAAATGAGCAAGCAAGGAAGAAACCAAGGCTAGGAGGATCTGTGAAAAGCCACCAGGAGCCAGTGGAATTGCTACGATTGATTTATAATCGTTATTGGGAAAGATAAACTTGCAGAGGCCAGGAAAGTGAGCTAGGTGGAGTTGATATGATATTCATCCATTCAAAATTTGTTCAATTGCTCCTGTGAGCTGGATCCTGGGGAATGTGCCATGCAGAAGGAAACATGGTGGCCTATCTTTAGTGACAACAGTTAGCATGGCAGAGCTCTCCTCTGGGTCAGAAATGGTTTCAAGTACTTACATGAACTATACAACAGCTCATGTAATCCTTCCCAACAAATCCATAGGAGAGAAATGCTATAGTTACTGCTATTTTACTGGTTAGTTAGCTTGCCCAGGGCCACACAGCTACTGAAAAAATAGGGGCAAAATCTTAACCAAGTCAATCTAACTCTAGAGCAGTGGTTCTCAACCCTCACTGCCTATGGAACTCACCAAAGGAATTTTCAAAATATATTGATACCTTGCTGCCCTCCCCAGAGATTCTAATTTAACTGGTCTGTGGAGTGGGCTGGGTATGGTGATTTTTCCCAAAGCTCCCAAGTGATTCTAATGCACAGCAAAGTTTGAAATTTAAGAACCTTTATTCTGCAAGCTGGGTTTTTGTCACACTGTGCTCCATCTCAGAAGTCTCAGCCATGTAGAATCCAGTATTCAACAAGAACATAAACAACTATTAGATGAGTAATAAATGCCATGGGAATTCTAAGTCGTGGGTAGTATATGAGTATTCCCCAAGGTGTTCCCATGTAACTATGCTTCCTTTCTCCCTCCATAGTATGCCAATCTGAACGGTGAATGCTACAGTATGCCCTCTGTGGGTTGTGTATAACAGAAACACAAGATAACTTCCAGGTAAGAGCATCAGAGATTTCTTAGAGTATCCTCAGACTCTCATTTGAATCAATTTTTAAATTTAAAAATAATGCATGGACAGGTGCAGAGGACTAATATCAATACCCTGAATAAATGTAGAATGGAAAGAACATGTTACTCAAGGCGAGGTAGCAAGACAGGAAAGCAGTGGTATTAGCATTTGGCTTGGTGCAAGACAGTCTTTTTTTTTTTTTGTCTTTTTGAGTCAAGGTCTCACTATGCAGTTCAGGCTGGTATTGAACTTGCAACAATTCTCCTGCCTCAGACTCCTGAGAGCTGGGATTCCAGGCATGCGCCACAATGCCTGGTGAGACAGTCATTTTTTAAACATGAATGTTCCAAGTATTGCAGAACAGGGTGATTTAATATTTCTAGTCCTCTCAATAATGCCAGTAATGTTCTTGCAATACTGTCAGAACCAAAGCACTTGCATGCGGGGCCAATTTCAGCCCTGGACAAGAAATACAGGAACCTGTGGGATGCTGCTCTATCTCCAGTGCTTAGCAGAGTGGTTGGCTTACTCTAGGCACTTGGTACATGTCTGATTAATGGTAAGAAGGAAGAAAGAGGAAAGCAAAGAAGAAAGAGAAGGAAGATGGGAGAGAGAAAGAGAAGGAAAGTAAGTCAGCTTTAGTTAATAGGATAGGTGATTACTTATTTCAAGGAGTATTTACAATAGTTAGAGCATCAGTGGGCAATTTCAAATAAATTTACACTTTACAAAAAAATTGCATGAATACAGAAATGTTTACAAATTCACCCAAGGATATATTCTTCCAAGTATTGAACTAATTGTCATGTACTTCTAAATATAGGTATACTATATAACAAGTTAATGTGCACTGTACTTACTAAATCTCTATGAATATAGCAGTTCCTCTCCAGATATTCCATTCCTTCACATATGTCCTGGCACACACTCAGTAGCATTTCCTTTCTAAGCATTCCTTTTCTCTCTCTGAGGTAGTTGAGCAGACACCCATTCTCCATGAACTCTGTAACAATATAAAGGGGCTTCTGCTGTATACACACCCCATAGAGCTGAACTAGCCTTGAATGTGACAATTTCCTGTAGAAGAAAAACATTGAAAAGTGTTTGAATTCAAAAGGAAATATTTAGCATCTATACATCATTTTCATTTTCAAGATAGGGATCAACCCGACCGCAGAGAAAGTATTTTCCTTTCCACTCCTCACTGAGAAAGTGAGGTCAGAAGTTGAGTATTTGCAATGTCATTGTCGGTGCAAAATATTCTATGCCCCACATTCCTCTTCTCAGCATTCTAGTTTTCTCCTTTTTGCTTTGTATGCCTTTTGCTTCCTCATTACTGTTTATGTTGGCACAGGTCTGAAAGCTCTGCCCCTTGAATGTCAACCTTCCTAACTGTGGCCACTCAAAAGGAAAATTCTGAACTGGCAGGCAGGAGGAAGGAGCAATCAGTGGTCATAAAAGAAAGAAAATTAAATTCTAAAGCATAAAGCCATTAAACATGAAAATCTTAAATATAGTTAAAGACTACAAAACATTTACCAACATAAAATCCTGATGTGTACTTAGTAATTACACACACACCCACACACCCACATACACACACACAATTCCTTGAATTCTGCCTGTTAAAACAAGCCTAGGGCCACCAGGTGTGATGGTGCTTGCCTGTAATCCCAGCACTGAGGAAGCTGAGGCAAAAGGATTGCTGTGAGTTTGAGGCCAGCCTGGGCTATATAATGAGTGAAAGGCCAGTCTCCTGAACTACATGGCAAGACCCTATATAAAAAAAACAAAAGAAAAGAAAAGAAAAAAAGAAACCCTGCAGCTTTTGAGTCTGGACTTCACAGTTTATTGTCTCAACTGTGGCACATAACACTCAATCTCTAAAGGCCTTTTATGCCAACCGGTCACCATGGAAAACAATTTCAAATTAATGTTTGTAATTTTAGAAAATGTATAATAAGCAATTCTCTGTTGCCTTGAAAAGTTATCTCTTCTTTTAATTCATAAAAATATAACAAAATCAGTGATTCAGGAAGACTATATTAAAGTAATATATAAGATTACAGACACATTAACATTAAATTAGTTTAAA